TTTTTTTTTTTTTTCTTTTTTTCTTTTTTACCCTTGGTTTCGCTTAAAGAGAGCAGGGCAGAATTCATGGTTCGGTTAAAGGGCACCAGGATAATCCCTACGGAACGCGATTTGATTTCCTTCAACGTTCCCAGCCGTCACATTTCTAGGTATGGGGGAGGCAACCCTTATGAAATTTTAATAATTTTTTTGACTAGAACCTAGGCCCCTGGGAAACCAACCTCGTGTCAGTGATTCTTAGGCCTTTGAACAGCATGTTGTGTCTGGGTAGTTACACTGACTCAGTAGCAAAACAGTGACTGTGATGATGAAATTTCGGCTGTATTGGCAGCTATTTCTGTCAATCGGAGGTAGGTGACAAACCAGTTTGTATTCGGCTTTCGAAGCAATTTTACGTGATGATCCCACGACGTCCTCGTCGAACTTTTGTCCTTGCTGTAAAGAGTTCGGTTGACTCACGTATATAGATTCCTAGAAAACAATATAATTCGGCAGGATTTTTTGCGCCTCGCGATAACAATTGAGATTTCATAATCTGAAAAAGGAATCGCGAACAGTGCAAAGCCGATTTTGTATCTTTAACTCTGGAACAAAACACGCATTCAAAGTCCGTCTAAGAGGGGGCCTAGTGATTACTATTGTAACCGCCTGCAAGGTATCACGTTATTTAAAAGGGGAGTGGTAAAAAAAATAACTACTCGATTAAAATTTGTCAGTCCATATACTCGGTCCAGAGACGTTTTATTTTTGCTTTACTCTAGCTGAAATGACTTACCAGAAAAGGAAGTTGATTGAAGTATGTTATGAGTTTTTAGATTCGGAATTCATTAATTATGGAATGGACGTTTAGAACACAAGGCATTTGTGTTATTTTCCTACAGTACAACAGACGCCATTATTTGTTTTTTCAAACTTGAAAACAACTTTTTTGTGTTCGATATCAATTTTTTTGTTACTTTCAAGAAGTCCCGGTAAATTCTAAGTTAACAAGCCTCTTGACGAATATTCGATATAGTATGGCTCCTGATAATACCAATAGATGAAACATGGAGCGGAGAGCTTTTTGGTCGTGGAATTTTGGTATTTTCTTGCCTTCTTCTTTTACTGTCGAGCTCAAAACGCCAGATATGAAAGGAAATAAAGCAGTAATTTTTAAATCGTCAACAAAGAGAATGACCAACCAAGTAATAAAGACTAATAAATTAACGCCCTAATTTTTATGAGATGTTTGGGGAGGTCATTTTACACATTTGTTTTTGTTAATTTTAATCCACTTCCCTCTTAAAATAGTTCAAAGGCTTCAATCATGATATCTCAAGTAAACAACATGCTTGAACAACAGCACTGATTAGTTGTTACTTGAGGTAAAAATTTGCAGGTGAAAATCGAAAAAAAAGGAAGTAATAAAAGCGAAATAATTGACACGATTCCTCAAAGCCATGGCTTTTAATGCTACAATCACAAAATCATCGATAACCTGAGTGACTAAGTACTTTGGTCACCTTTGAAATTGGTGACTGCTTTCGAGTCTCATTAAACAGGTGTTAACAATGAAAATGCCGACATAATGTTTTCTTTTGTTTCGGCTGAACAACGTTGCCAGGTGTGTGGAACTGAAGGCGCAAGAGCTGTATGAAAAATTCATTTTCTAGGATATTTGACTAAAAACGTCACAAATATTGGATAATCCTAGAATTACATTATGCCTTTCCCAGCATATCTAATGAATCCCACGAATTTTGTCAACGACCATACAGATATTTTTGTGGTCACGTTTTCGGAATGGGCTTTTAGGACTTTTGAGGAACCTCTCTCGTAATTTCAGTTAGACTGAGGCTTGTTGCAGGGAAAATCCTTAACGAAAAAATGAGATTGACATTCGTAAAAATTAACTAGTAGGAATCAGTTATGGCATATTAAAGTGAAAATGATTTTGCTTCATGTTGGAATCTGAATCTGAGATAAAATACAACTCAACCTTTTTGGCTGCTTACGATTACGTAAATGATAATGGACCTTTTCACCGATGTCACGCAATTATCAACAATTTTTCGTATTTTTCAAATAAACAAAAAGAGCACCTCCATATATAGTTCAATTTATCATGCCAAATTTAGTAAATCTGCGACGTTTTATAAGAACCCATTGCAAACTCATAAAATATGAGACCTCAAAAGTGCAAGAAAATTTATGCAAGGGATTAGTGTTACCCCCCCTCCCCGGCATACATTTCTTTGTAAAAATTGCCAAGTTAGGGGTCCCATATTTTTATGCGTTTGCGACGGATTCTGATGAAACTTCACATGTTTACTAAGTTCGGCACCATAACTCGAACGGTGTGGTTTATTTTTTTTTGTTTGAATAAAAAAATCAGAAATGTGTGACATCGGTTAAAAGGAACATTTGTAACACAGTCAGCTTCACTCTCTATTTTCCAATTGCCCATAATGCACTCTGTTTGCCCCCCAAATTTTACATAAACTATTGTTGTGAAATGCTCTTGGGAAAATGCAGACCTCCCAAGAGTATTTCACAACAATGGGTAAAGTCTGCATGCGAGCCAAGTGGCCCATCAGGCCGGAGCTTATCCCGGTTTCTGTAGCATGAAGCGACTAGGAGTATTTCTACTCCCCCCTGGNAGAACACAACACAATGTCCCCGGCCAGGACTCGAACCCGGACCGCTCGATCCGGAGACGAGCGCACTAACCATGAGGCCACCGCGCCTCCCATTTCACAACAATAGTTTATGCAAAAGTTGGGGGGCAAACAGAGTGCATTATGGGCAATTGGAAAATAGAGAATGTGACATTTCCCCATAACTAGCCATTCAGTCTGACATGAGTTTTTCTCCTTCATATTGCAGTCTTAACGACGCTATTACAAGGCGTGCAAAGTGAAAGCACTATAGCACCGTCGGTGACATTATCTCAGCAAACGCTCGTGACGATGTCATCATCATCATCGTCATCATCATCGTCATTATCATCTGAATCCCCCACAGAAAACAAGGAGGCTAGTGACCAAGACAACCAAGAAACAGAGGAAACTGAAGCTCCCCTCTTGATTGAACTGTGGAAGATAATTTCGATCGGTGGCTTGTTAATTGTTTTCATTCTTTTGATCTTCATTCTAGGTCTGCTGGTAAGTCATATAAAAAAAAAAACAAACAAACAAACTGGTAAATCATTTTCTACATGAAGACCCACAACGGCATGTTTCAGCACTTCGTCTACTAAAACTCTTTTTCATTTGATGATGGTACGTCAATCACGTGATATGTTATTACGTACCACGTCATTTCACCAGCAGTCAATACTGCAAATAATAGCACGAAATTTCAGCGTTAATTTATAATTCCACATGTGAAATTACAAAATTGCCACGGCAACGTTGGCGCGAAATTTCTGGTTTCAATAAACAAGTCAAAAGCCCGCGATTGTAAGCGTAACTATGTACTCGTGAAATTAGGAAATAATTTCACTTACGTTTCGTCAAAATTCAAATAATTTCCCTGTCCTGGAGACTCGGGAAATTTTAAGAATTTGACAAAACGCGCGTGAAATTATTTACTAATTTCACTCGTCACCATTTGGATATCCATACTAATGACACTAATAAATTTAAAATTTCAGATGAGAAACAGACTGTTGAAAGACGCTTTAACTCGAGAGAGACGTAACACTGAAGAACGGCACCAACGCCAGCGGAGGCAAGTGGAGACGAGAGAAGCACTTTCTATCATAGCAGCAGCGTCATCTACAAATGAGCTGTCAACTTTTCTTCACGATGAACACGGAGCGAAGGTATTGTTAACATACAAATTGGAAATTAACTAATTTTAAGGTTTGCAAGCTGGCCTATTGACGCAAATCAGAAAAAAATCAGGCAGGATTTATTTTTATTGCTTAGACCTATATTTACTGCTACGATTTGAAATTGAACTACATAAGGGAAAAAGCATATAGAAATCGTTGTGAAACGGTACGTAAGCTTATAACAGCATAATATAAATGAAGCTGAACTAGAACTTGACGCCAATTTTGCCTTGATGGTTTACTCGTAAATATTCTAGATCGAGAACGAACAATATCACTAACGTGAAATGTTTAGACCTGGAGAACATTTTGATGTAATTTTTGTAACCTTTCGCTGAGGTTTTCTGTCTACGTTGTTTGTCTTTGCAGTTTTGAATTTGAAAAACATTTGTATACAAGGAAAATAAATACTTCGATTAACTTTTAATCCAGGGTTAACGTTAACTGGCTTTCGAACAACGAGGTGAAATGACTTCAATTTTTTTTCCATTGTTACGCTATGATATGTTTTGTTGTAGGGCCAGAAGTTCCAGAGTCGCACATTTTCCATGGGAACCTCAAGGTCAGTGGATAGGCTTGCGGATCTGTTGAGAAATTCTGAACAGATACAACGACATCACAGAAGCACAGACACACCGGGGGTTCATGACGAGATGCAGGTTAGTGCCTCAATCAATCATCAAACAAGTGTTTGAGCTTTTACAAAATGTACTAAAATACTATTTAACAATAAGTGAGTAACAGGTCAGTAACATTGGACAGCATGGCAAAACACGAGGTGTTTTGCACGTTTGATCCGCGAGCACTTACTTTTGCAACCGTTATTTCGATTGTCACCCAACGCTTCATCATAACATTGCTGCGTGACGATCAAAAATAACAGCTGCGATGGAAATTGCACTAAGACACGTGGCCCCGCTGCGCGTAGTTGATTCTGGTAGATTTCAGTATGTTATCTAATGCTGGACACTATCCTGTACAGTTTCAGCCATCAAGATCAAGACAAGCTGAAGACCCGAAGAACGAAAATCAGGCAAAGTCAACACGTCAGGTGCGTGCATGTGTAAACGTTTCCTCTGTGAAGCTGATCACAATTAATTTATGCAAAATCTTTATATATCGAACTAAACCTTTGTCTTTTCTCTTGTAGCCTCGACCTTGTTTTAAGCTGTATCAATAGTTCGTCTTCAATTCTTTCCCCGCTCAGAGGAGCTGGTGAAAAGCCGTAAGGTGTTGCACTTTACCACTAACACTTTGCGCTCGTACCCAGCCCTAGGGGCTATTCGCGTGCGTTTACAGGCAGTGAAAGAACTTGAGAGTTTTTAACGTCAAGGTATCGAAAACTGCTCACACCGACAATTTTTTTAGGCAGTTTTTCTATTGTCAAGTTAGATCCTTTCAATGATGGCTTTCTCTATAGCTCACCTATTTGCTTGACAAATTAGTGATGTTGTAAGGAGAAATTTGATTCTGGTCACTCTTGATAATTGATTGACAGATAAAATGCTTGTCAAACTTATACGATTCACATCCTTGTTTGTGTCACTCTTTCTTCAGGACAATTTTATTACCTCCGGCTCCAGGGATGACTACATTAAGCCAAGAAACGATCCCCAATCAAAAACTAAAGTCTCTTTTGCTGAACCATTGCAGGAAACACCGTTACCAACCCGAGAGGAAAAACAAAAGGTGTGTAACAGGGAAACATTAGTCAGTGTAGCAAGTATTAGCTAGGGCCTGAATCACTTCTCCTCAAAAGTAGGAGAGCGGGGAGGAGACAATTGTGAGAAGGGCGAAGAAAAATGGACTTAAATACGTGCATTTTCGAGTTGCCTTTTGCCTCAGTGTCAAAACGAGTCTTCGCGCGAAACCATTCATATGGAAATGTGTTCCGCCTACATTTCATTTTCATGCAAATCAAACTCATTTCACGCAAATCAGTGCACGAGGATTCGTTTTGAAACGGAGGCACAAGGTAACTCGGAAAAAGCCTGTTTTAATAGTCTTGTGAGCAATCAGGCTATCGCCGAATATCGTACTGCTCCACGAAGAAGAAATCCAGGGG